GTAAAAGCTGCTTCAGCCAAAGTCAAATCAGATTTTCTGTATATTTCAAAACATGGTCTGTTTCAATGTCTTCACAATATAAACAGCAATCAATCCTTATCTTTAAACTGTCAATTCAGCAAAACACCCTCTACAGCAAAAATGAAGACAAAAGAAAAAACACCCTCTTTAATGAGCTCATTTACACATTTAGCTGGAAATCGGTCTCCTCGCTGTCTGATGAGCAGCTCTGCTGACGACAGCCACATGAAGGAATGCAGTGTATGGATGTACAGTTATAACTACTAGGGCTGATGTCTCTCTCTCCATATGAGACACATGCCTCAAGCCAAAACAGCCTTTCATCCTCGCAGAGCCATGCATTATTGATGATTAGACCAGAGAGAGACACTGAAACACACACTGTGTTTCCCAGTGTGCTGGCAGGATGACGAATCTGTGTATGAAAGCATGTATGCGCTTATATGTGACTAAACAGGTGGGCTGGATTCTTTTAATGATCAGCTGAGTAAACTGTTACTGAGCCAATCAGAAAAGCAGAAAGTGACAGCGGAGCAGCCATTGGCTCAAGCCCGCTACTGTCATTGTGACAACAACGTCTGTGACCGACTGCGATCTCCAGTGTCTCCAGTGCGTGTTATCTTTTTCTTGTTGCGCATCGCAGCATTGCATATGTGTGATGCCATCATTTCAAGGGTTTGCTGATGCAATGCTTGTGTTTACAATGAACCCTGCAGCCTGCATCGACACATAGCAAACTTCTTCAGAGACTTCACATGTATACTACTCAACTTCCCATTTCCCACATTTGAATATAAACAACAACCAGACAAACCAGTGTGCCAGTTCGGCAGAGTAGCGCATGATTGCCCAGGGGGCAGTCTTTAAAGAAAGTATCACGTTTTTTTAATTAGCTTTTGGATTTTACAGAAGAAAACAAGGTAAAAAACACACTGCCAACACACTTCTAGCTTACGTACCAAACAAGCATGAAAATGCTTCTTATTTCAGTAAGCAGCTTACATATAAGAAACAGCACTAAATGTTTTGGAAACACTAACATCATATTTTAAAGCCAATAAAATTACACCATTCAAAACTGTCTTCATAGAATTATTTTTAATCTGATTGACAATGTTATCGCTTAATCTATGAGCACAACTTATGAGATACAGCAGCAACATTTTTCTGCAACATTTCATTTTCAAATGTAAGAAAATACGGGAAAAATAAACACAGAGACCTTCCAGTCCAAGGCGACATGTTAACCGCGCTTGATTTATCTCCTGAACATTTAAACCCAAAGATCATTTTACAGCTTTTCCTTGCTCAGAATGGACCAATGGGGAGTACATGTGTAAACATGGTGGCTACATGTTACCTTGCTTGACAAAAATAATGTTTTTGTATGTTGGTGACATTCCTTTGGCTCTGCAAAACCTCTTTGTCAGGAGTGCCAATAATTCACTTTTAAGGAGAACACATAAAAGCAGCAAATCTGCATTTGAGAAACCAGAACCAGAATATATGTTTCTGATTAAAAATGACTTGTCAAAATTGTCACTGTGAGTGGAATGACTGATTAATGTGAGGAGGGACTTTAGCACTAAAACAAATTGTGATAAGGAACTAAAGAGACTGATTTATTTTCTCGATAAAGGTTGATAAAGCAAGACATCGAGTCTGCGGAGCCCTGATTTTTGATTTTTTTTTTTTGTCTGAAGCACAACATGTGTGCCATGTGTTATTTTCTATACTTTATGAAGTAAATCAAAATAAATAATGAGCTTTTTTGGTAGGTAGTTGGTGACTATAAAAAAATTTATTATTGCTAATACGGTACTCGTATATTAAGTATCAGTTAATGAGGAGCAAACAAGCTAGCCTTCTTTCACCGTATTTCCCAAACCAAATGTCATATGGAAGTCAATATTTATTATTTACAGAATAAAAAATGAATCTTCTCTGACTGGGCTGGTGAGTTGTTGCCGAGCCTGTGGGAATGTGAGGTACATTGATGTTTCTAATGAAGAGCTCTGAGCTCCATTGATCCACCGGGGATGAGAGTGAGCTGTCAAAAGCTATCAGGCAAGTCAAAGACCCACTTTTAGCTGTGTGTAGCTAAAGTGAGCACGATAGTGTTGAGGCGCAAGGAAGAGCAGCTAAACATCCCACGGCAAAGGGTATAGAGAGGAGACACACACACACACACACACACAGAGGCACAGCTGTGATGCCCTCAGAGCGTTCAAGCGGTTATTTGTTTAGTAAAGGGGCATTGCACAGTTAACAATAAGGTTTACAATGTGTCAAGTGATCAGTTAAAGTGTACGACCTTCTGGTCCAATATTTAGGTTAGATTTATTTTTAAAAAAGAAAAGCAGCAAATACCAAATTTTAATCAATTTCCTTTAAGAATGGTTAAAATTATTGCTGATTATTTTTTTATCTGCAGCTTTTTAAATTAACAAGTCATCTCAGCACTAACGCAATCTTAGCACGTCTGGTTCCTGTTGTCACATTAACATCTACATGTGCATGACACAGCCTAGTGAAAGCAAAAATGACTGCATTGATACTTTAAGTACAAGCAGGATTAAATGGGATTAAAACACAGCACAAATGTGAATGTAAGCACCACTGCTATATTACACCGTAGCTGCTAGCACTGCTTTCATATAGACACTGTATAGCAGGTAAATCAGGACCTGTGCTGTTCTCCAATGGGATGCAACAATATGTATCATGAAAATGTAATGAAAAGATGCCAAAAGATGTGCGTACGGGTGGGTGAGGATAGGAAGTGAAAACAGTGGGAGGTGTGGGCGACCAATGGCATAATGTCACCATGAGCCAGCGTGATTTTGTTCTATTCAAGCAGATGAGACAAATTACTAATGACTGTATTTATGGCATGCACATACCACACACTACACTGTCACTGTAACTTAAAGAGAACCCAACTGCCACTAAAAATCCCACTATTACAGTATAAGTACAAGTAATTTATTTAAAAAAGACCGCGTGTGTGGGGGGGAGGCCAAATACACCCTGGACAGATCACATCTATATCACAGGACTTATTTACATCACATTGATAATTCTTTAAGCTCATCAAACATAAGAATATGCTTTAATTTAAAAATAAATGAATATACAACTTAGCAGTTTTGACTGTGTGACAGTTGGCAGACTTCACTCTTTCATCTCCGAGCAGCTGTGAGTGGTATTTATAACCTAAACAATTAATCAAAGAATAAGCAAGAAAAATGCAAACTGATTAAAGTTTAAACTACACCTGCTGCACGACTTACGTCTGATTAAACAGCTGCTCTATGTCATGTTTTCCTCTGCAAATACATTAAATTCAACATTTTCTACTTGATATAAAAAGGCTGGACAAAACAGAGGCTGGTTTCTCTCAGGGAAACAGTCAACGACCACTCTATAAAATATATTTTCCACACAAACATTTTAAGTTCAAAGCTAAAACAAGTTAATCATGGATAAAGTGCTTTATAACCAAGAGACAAACCAATAAACGAACACCAAAGAAAGAACATATGGTAGATTCGGGGGCCTTTAGGGCTGCTTTTCAGGACCAGATGTCTTCAGGAACCGGAGATAGAGAAACAGTCCGCACAGCAGAAAACACAAACGTGAGTTGAGGTCTTTCTGCACCAAATGATCTGCTACTGCAAGGACATGTATGCTCCGCATGTTGCATATAAGCAGCTATACATTTCTCACTGTGATAAAAACAGACTGCCCACAGACTTACTGAGATATTAGAGTGCAGCAAGAATACTTTGACAAGTAACATACCACAATGTGAAAGGCTCGAGTCCCTCAATCTTTTCTTTGACACTGCATCCACAGCAGTCTGTGGAGCACAGCAGTAATTAGAGTGAACTTGTAGCCCTCATCTTAATGCTTTTAATCAGCAAGGTTGCAAGCAGAGAATAATCTTTCAGCCTGTTGTCGTCACAGGCTGGCGTAAAAGGGAGCAAATCTCCTGCTTTGCGCGGACTTAAGAATGATTATGAAAGAGCGAAAATGCAATGCATCAGTCAAAGTGTTTCCATCACACCCTGTGGTTAACCCATCCATGCACTTGTATGCACGCATGTAGTGTCAGAAGCAGGATGCAAATATTTCTGTATGAAAAGTGTCATATGTAAAGTGATGATATGAGGATTTTTTATCAGCGCGACCTTTAAAAAGATGATGAGATGGCCAACAGAGAGTCGTGGTGTCTGCACAATCGTAGTAATGAAATTAGTCAAGAAAACAGAATGAAAAATGGAGAGTGAGAAGTCAATACTGTGTGTATAAGGGGAGGGGAAAAGGAAACTTTGAAGAGTGGAAAGTGCTCTTCAGCAGGAAATGGTTGGAGGTTGAAAATCTGCTTTTGTCTTGGGCCTATAAGTTAGCCGTTTGTGGGTTTGTTTCAGTTCAGCAGTTGTAATAACTGTATATACAGCATGTGGTTTCAAAGTCTCATGTTCTGAGATGTTTGTTTTGGAAAACGTAGGCATGTAAACTATTTATAGAGGCAGAATTGACAGGGCCTGCCTACATATTTTTTTGACAACAAAGAGTAAAACTTTGTTGTCAAGGTGGAATAATTCTCATATTGTACCTACAAAATTAATGCTTGCATCCAAAATACATAAAAATGAAGCATAATCAATGTAAAGATGCAGAAAGGAAATCAGTAAATAAATAAATAAATAAAACACATTACACAAAAATCATTTGTCTTTTGTATGTTTGAGTGGGAATGAAAGTTTCAATCTATAGCCAAAGTGGCAACAACAACTCCTACAAATGAAATTCGAACATCTCGTGGTTCAGTGTTTCCACAAATAACAGTGAATTCAAACTGGATCACAAATAGTTTTTGCAAAAATGTATAAATATTTTTGCGGAAAATGAGTTCTCTCTGCAAACAATTCAATAGTGATCAATCTTCTTTTCGTGTGAGGGGCACAACTCACCTTGCAGCGACGTGATGACTGCTGAGTTATGTCTCCAGAGCGCGCTGTAGATATATTAAGCACTTGCGCCTCGGTAAGTTTGCTTTGCCTCTCTTGTGGGAAGAGTAAAGATAACTTCACATCATTCGTTTAACGGGAGCAGAAGAAAGAACTCCGAGGTGCACTTTTCCTAATTAATAGTCATGCATGGACACTAAGTTACCCCTGCAGCCCATGATGATGGAGACTCCTCGCTCTTTAAGCGGATGGAAAAATAGTCTGAGCTGGACGGGTTTGGTGTTTTAAGATTGGTTACAGTGGCCCAATATGATTGTACGCGTAACCAATCAGCTCTGCTGAAAGGTGGCGATGGAAGGCACTCGTTATACTCTGCGGCGTGTTCCGTCAGAGAGCGCACAACACGAACAGTGTACTCCGCCCGGAGATGTTGATCTATTAACAAAGCGCAAGCACACCTCGTTACTGCCAAAATGACTGTTTGGGAAAGGGTTTATGGGAGGTGTAGTCAACTAAACAGGGAACTACTGCTTCTCTGAGCGGCTCGTTAAACATCCTAAAACTACATCCCCGTCATTTTTAACGGCACCGACAGTGTTTGCATCAGCGTGGTCAGCACTCGCCGGCGAAGTTACTACTGAGCAGCGGCTTGTCTTGTTTAAAAGTGATAAAAAATAACAACCAGTCTTTAGTTTGTGTGGCAACCAACGGACAAATGAATCTGTTCGTAAGTGAAGGCAACCCGCACTGCCTGAAGGCGCTAGCAGCGTTAGAAGCGACGGGAGTGCAGTGCGGCGTCCAGTTTGTCAACCACGATGGTAAGAAAACCTAGTGAGGTTAGCATTCCTCTGTGTAATTACCTGTAATTATAACTAATAACGACAGTGTTTTGGTAAAACATGCTAGCCATTATGCAAGTTTTATGCAGGTCTGAGCTAAACTTGTCCTTTAACGGTTGTGACTGTGTACTAGCGAACTAGCTGGTTAGCCAGCCTTCTTCTGGTGGCATCTGTCTGTGAGTGACAGTCACAATGAATGTAGAGAACAATATCTGCGTCTGAGAAGCGGCTAGAATTAGCTTTACTGGAAATCACCGTTCGTTTGTCATGTTTTAGACTTGTTTGCTTGTCCAGCTTCATGTCGGGGTGTTTGTTTGTTTGTTTTTTAGCCAGTGTGCAGCTACAGCTACCGTCTGTTTGAATTAGCTTACCATTATAAAGTTAGAAGACTGTGTTGTTTTTATTAATAAAGTACATATCTATATATAAACAGTGTGAGTTTATCCTAGGTATGATTATGTTTTGTAGGATATTTCACTGTCTCAGAATTAGAAAAGCCAACAGGTAGAACACGTTTGGAGAAACATGTTTTTCTTTATTCATTGCTTTATTGTTGCTGTGAAACGGACATATTTCACCAAAGCTGACACAAGGCAGACTTAAGTGTGCCAAAATGTGATGTGGCATACATGTCCAGCACTGTTATTCCTGTTTGGTGGGTTTTGTCTACACCCAACAAAGTCACAGTTAGGAATCCAGGAAGCCAAAAAGCCTTTAGCACGGCGAAGTCAGACAGAAAAAGCAGCTGTGTACATGTTCTTCCCGTGTCCGTGGGTTCTTTCCTGGTACCCCGACTTCATTCCACAGTTGAGAGAGGTTTTAGTAGAGTATTTGGGACTCATAGTTCTGACCTATACTTGACAATAATGGCCCTTTGGAAAACTTGCTTAGGTTTAGCAGTAAGTTTTAATTTAGTATTCTGTGAAATAGTTTCTAATAAAATAGTAACAAACTCCAGCTTCATCCTAACCCCAGATGGGTGCTAATCATGAATACCAAGAGCCATCTGGCATGTGACTACTCGCATATAAACTGTCTTAGAGACAGTGAAAAAACCCCACACAGTTTAAAAAGCATTTTTATACCAAATTCAAAATGTTGCTCGTTACTTCAGGTGAATGCAATAAAATATAAATGTCTGCTGTAATAATGCCGTATAAAGAACCACCATTCGTGAGCCACTATTAAAAATCTGTGCTCTGACTGAAACATGTGACTACATTTTCCGCCTAGATTTAATAAACAATATTAATCCAACTAGTCCAGGTGTATAATATTTGTTAAAAGGTTTTGTCTCTTTTTCCATTTTCCCAGAAAGGGTGGTGCCTTTCCTCAGCCGTCCAACATTGCCAGCTTTGGCCCTGCCCAGTGGACAATACCTTTTCAGTTCCAATGCCATCTGCCGGTCAGTAAACTTCACATAGGCCTTTTTGCTTGGCTCTTTATGAGTGGTAGTATACAGTTAGGTCAATAATTTGCTTGAAAAAGATGCAAAGTTTGTAGTTTGTCTTCTGTACACCCCCACAGTGGATTTTAACTTAAATAAATAAATAAATAAAATAAAGATGGCAACCAATAGAACCAAAACTATGTTTTTATGCTTTACCCATTTTAGCAGCAAGTATAAAATATATCTCTTACCATGTGTTTTGAATCCCTTAGATACCTGTTTGAAGTAAATGGACAAGAATGCAGTGAGCTTTGCGATCAATGGCTGGAATGGGAGGCCACAGTTCTTCAGGTATACTCTACATAAATAAGCAGACCTTTTAGTTTGGTGTTAATCTGCTGTGTTAAAACTATTTTCAGTTCATGCTTTTGTACGTTCTCTTGTGCAGAATCCTCTTACTGTACTTCTATAAACCTCATGGAAAAGCGGATATAAATCCATGCTGCTAAATTATTAAAACTCACGCTATCAAAAGAACAATGTACGGAAACAAGCGTTAAGCAGTCCAAGTAATTCTCTGACCTCAGTCACACTTGCTTGGTAAATTGTTATTAATCCTGTTTTGTCCTTTTTGCGCAGCCTGCATTGCAGCAGGCTCTTCACATGGCAGTGCTGCAGGGGAAGAGTTCAGAGGTGTCCAAGGTTCTCCAGGGTCCCATAAACGTCTTGGAACAAAGCTTGAGCAAAAGGAACGCACCTTATTTAACTGGGGTACAGTATGGTCTCCTGTGTATCTTCTTTTTTCAGTGCATGTTTACCTGTAATATACCCCAGTCAGGCATAACATTATGACCACTGACAGGGGAAGTGAATAACACTGATTATCTTTTCATTGTGGCAGCTGTTGGTATGTGGGATATATTAGGGAGCAAGTTCACATTTTGTTCTCAAAGTTGATGTCTTCAAAGCAGGAAAAATGCTCTTGTGGGATTTCCTTGTCTGAAGTGGTCAGTAGCTATCAACAGTGGTCCAAGGAAGGAACAGTAGTGAACCAGCAACAGGGTCATGGGCTGCACAAGTTCACGATATGTGTGGGCAGTGAAGCCGGCCCATGTGGTCCAATCCAACAAACAAGCTGCTGGTAGTGCAGATTGCTGAAAAGGTAATGCTGGTTCTGAATGAAAGGTCTCAGAATTGTCAGCATTGTTGCAGACTATGTACACCATTTCATGAAAACGGTATTCCCCAATGACTGTGGCCTTTTTCAGCTGTGGCCTCTTTTCAAGCTCTGCTACAAAGAAACGGTGGTTTCCACAGGAATGAGTTTGAGGTGTTGACTTGGCCTCCAGATTCCCCAGATCTCAATCCAATCAATCATCTGTGGAATGTGCTGCACAAACAAGTCCAACCCAAGGATGTCCTACCTCGCAACTTACACGACCTAAAGGTTTTGTTGCTTACATCTTGGTACCAGTTACCGCAGCACACCTTCAGGGGTCTAAGTGGAGTCTGTGCCTCGATTTGTCAGGGCTGCTTTGGTAGCAAAAGAGAGACCAACACAATATTAGGCAGGAGGTCATAATGCTATGACTGAAAAGTCTATTGTGTGAGTACATTTAGAAAATAAAGAAAACACATTTTCAGGCTTTTTCAATCTACAAAATATATACTTGATAGAAGTCAGTAAGTCAAAAGTTCAAAATATCTCTTTTAAAGTTTATCTGAGCTTGACTGAGCAACTCCATTGGGCCAGATCTGGCTCCTCTGGCAACATTTTTCTATAAAACTAAAGAAAAAGTGCCGTAAGTGCACACAGCAAGGAAGTCTTAGCTGTAGGTGTAGTACTTTTTTAGTGAGATGCAAGCACATAAAAGCTGTAAGTAGTCCCATTCATGGTTGTTCTCTATATAGAAAGTTGCAGGTGCAAAGATGAATCCCTCTTCTCCTTTGCTTGGGGATTTCAAAACATTGTTAATTCAGAAACAGTATTTAGCAATTGCTTTAAACTAATGTTGAATTAACTGTGCTGTGTTTCAGGATTCTGTTTCCGCTGCTGATCTTGTTTTGTGGGCCGGATTCTTTCCTGTTTTATCTGATTCTTCACTAACACTGGGTAAATATGAATGCATTTTAAAATCCATTATTATTTGACATGTATTGCTGGCTATTTCCCTTTTGCTTTGCTTTATTTAACTTACTTTTTCATTCAATTTAATCTTTGAATGTTTAATTTCTGATTTCTCTTTTTCACGTATTTTACAAAATTTCACCTTCCATCTCCTGATCTCTTTTCAGGTGAACACAAGTCTTTGAAGGCTTGGTTTGACCGTGTGGCTGCTATGAACGCTTGTCAGTCTGCTGCTCAGAAAGTGCTACAGGGAAAAGGTCTGCAGGGCATGAAAAGCTATATGCAGAAGCAGCCTGCTCCTCAGAGCAGCCAGTGCAGAGAGACACAGCCATGTAATAGCAACTCTGCTGAGGTACCTGCAACAGTATATCATCGAGATAACTATTAGACTGAATGTGTTCTTACTGAGAGGCATAAATTTAGTGCCTTTCTTCCAAACAACACATTAGGTTTCTAGGAAAACTTATCATTGTTGGTTTTCATTAACCTATAGACGCATGCACTTCCACAAACATGGTTTATACTCTTTGAAAGCACAGTATTTTAAAAGTGTCAGTCAGATTTAAGAGCAAATGTTAGAACACACATTTATAGGAAGTCAGTGAATGTGTGGATAGCAGATGATGCTATAATAGCGGCGAATATGTCGTGGATAATGATTGTCTTTGTCTCCTGGTTTGATTAGGAAGAAGGAGGTGAGCGTGTTGTTTCAGAGGAGGAGATGGAAGCAGCAGCTCTCACTTGGAGTAAGGGTTTGAACACTTGCCCTCCAGCTACAAAAAAGCAACACCCCATGTAAGTTATTAATGGCACCATCATTTCACACACATGTATACTGTTAAGGCCAGCTAAAATTTAGTTCTGTTTTCTTTCCCACTAGTT